CGTCGTGATGAACGTCCTCAGAAGAATAAACGCTGTTGTTGGAGGCTCCGGCTGCAGGTTAACCTCCGTCAGCTCTGATTTTCTGCTGATGTCACGAAACAGAAGGAAAGAACACGGCTGCAGTGTTTGGTGTCAACTTTGTCGGTGGAAAAAAAAAAAAACCGTCTCGACCTGCACTCGTCAGTCATGTGTCAAAATATTTGACAGGTTTTTATGCAGGATCAGCTGCTGCACATTTCACTTTGAACAAAAACGCTGAAGGATGATTGACGCCCGGCACCGTCTCACTGAGCTCCTGTGGAGGAAGACGTCTGTCGGTTTCATTCCGCAGCTGAAACCTTCGTTTGAAATCAGTCGATCGACATGAAATCGATCCGCAATTCATTTTATAAAATAGTAATAATAATGATGTATTAATTAAATGTAGGCGGAGCAGAAAGGATGATCATCCCTGTTAACATCTGTGAACATCTGTCCTCTACAGGTGTGGTTGTGGGAGAGGACGACTGGACAGCTGACCCCGAGAGGAAGAAGCCGGTGAAGGGCGGCAGCCGCCTGTTCATCGGCGCCGCCATCGATGGGAAGTCGGAGTACTTCCCTACGCTGTCCAGCAGGAAGCTGGTGGCGGACGAGGAGAGCGTCAACATGTTCTCGCTGGTCTACCAGGACGAGTTTGTGTCGTCGCAGATTAAGATCCCGTCAGACACGCTGTCCCTCTACCCGGCCTTCGACATCTACTACGTCTACGGCTTCTCCAGCCGCACGTACGTCTACTTCCTGACGCTGCAGCTGGACACGCAGCTGACGCAGATGGACGCTGGCGGAGAGAAGTTCTTCACCTCTAAGATCGTCCGAATGTGTTCTAACGACACTGAGTTCTACTCATATGTGGAGTTTCCTCTGGGCTGCACCAAGGACGGCGTCGAGTACCGACTGGTCCAGGCCGCTTACAAGCAGAAACCGGGGCGGCGGCTCGCCCAGGCACTCGGCCTGTCGGAGGACGACGACGTCCTGTTTGTTGTCTTTTCTCAGGTAAATAAACTTCGCTGTGACTATGTCGGGTGGTCTCTGCGTCTTTGGGATTTGAACCAGCGGCGCTCAGACTCTGCTCGTGTTTTCAGGGTCAGAAGAATCGCTCCAACCCGCCCAGAGAGACCGTCCTCTGCCTGTTCACCCTCCATAACATCAACCTGGCCATGAGGGAGAGGATCCGCTCCTGTTACCGCGGAGAGGGACGCCTCTCGTTACCATGGTTACTCAACAAGGAGCTGCCCTGCATCCACACGGTGAGTTAACGGGGAAAACTCCGAACCACCGACGTGATGGATCGATTATTATGAAGCCTTGATCCCGTTGACTCTAACATCGGTGCGATGTAGACGTTAAAGAGCAGCGAGTGTTGTAACGGCTCCGTGCTGGTGACACCTAGTGGCCGGAGACATTATCGTTTTCAACCACGTTTGTCTAAATATTGTGAACACGATATCTCAGAACCGTCAGAACGACATTTCTTCAAGTTTGGTCCAAACGTTCCCACAGACTCAAAGATCAACTGATGAGATTTTAAAGGTCAAAGGTCACGGTGACCTCATGTATTTGTGAATAAAAACCTGCAGGGTTTCAAACTGAGCTGGTCGGTGGAGGAATAAAACCACAGAGCAGGATTTTTTTTTGAAAGAATCGCAGAGAACCTTTTAGAATTAAAAAAAAAAAATGTAATGAATAAAATTAAGAAATAGTTTAAAATCGAATTCCTGCAGGTAAAAGAAACGGAAACGTCTGCGTCTTCATCAGGTTTCTGTCCCTGGGTTCTCCCTCAGTGGATCATGGTTTGGCCCGAGGCTTCCTTCAGGCTGCGACACACACACACACATGCACACACATGCGCACACACGCACACACACACACACACACA